AAGCATAAATACAACTTAGAACAACCACAATTGCCTTTGACTTTTAGTTTACCTTCAACAACTACATCTAAAAATTATCTGAAATAAAAGAACCAGTATTGATTTATTTTATGTCAATCACTAAGCATATTCTCAACACCAGTGGAAGCAGCAGTCAAGACATCAGATGATGTATTGCTTTGGGTAAATCTGCAGCAAAAGACCTCTTTCAAGTGCTGAAGAGCAAAGATGTCTCCTTGAAGACTAAGGTGTGCCTAACCCAAGCCATGGTATTTTCAGTCGCCTCATATGGATGTGAGAGCTGGACAATGAATAAAGAAGACTGATGAAGAGTTGATGCTTTTGAGTTGTGGTGTTGGTGAAGAATACAGAAGGTACCATAGAATGTTAAAAGAACTAACAAATCTGTCCCGGAAGAAGTGCAGCCAGAATGCTCCTTGGACGCAAGAATGGCCAGATTTCGTCTCACCTACTTTGGCCACGTTGTCAGTATGTCAGGGACCAAATGGAGAAGGATATCATGCTTGCTGGAGAAGAGGATCAACAGAAAAGGGGAAGGCCCCCAAAGAGATGGATTGACACAGTGGCTGCAATGATGGGCTCTGGTATAGCAAGGATCATGAGGCTGGCACAGGACTGGGCAGTGTTTCATTCTGTTTAACATAGGGTCGCTGTGAGTCAGAGACAACTCAATGGCACCTAACAACAACCACAAACATACATTGTCTCATTCAATCCTCATGTAAACCCAAACCCACTACCATCGAGTCAATTCTGACTCATAGTGACCCTACAGGACAGAGTAGAACTGCCCTATAGGGTTTCCAAGACTGTAAATCTTTACAGAAGCAAACTACTTCATCTTTCTCCCACAGACAGGCTGGTGAGTTCAAACCACTGAGCTTTTGCTTAGTAGCCCAATGTGTAAACCACTACACCACCAGAGCTTCTTTAATCCTTACAACAACCCTTAAAAAATACCATTTATTGAGTGCTTAGTGTATCTTACACAATGCCAAGCACCTTTCCTAACATAGTACTTACACCAACGTGATTGACTATGTATGATGATCCTCATTTTTGAGATGACAAAACTGAGGCCCATACAGTTTTTAAAAACTGCACATGTAACACATCTAGGAAAGAGAAGAGCTTCAGTTCGAACTCAGATAAGTCCATTTCCAAAATATCCTAGATAAACTTTACATTCAACTATTATTGTATAAAATTCTTATGTTCTAAGTGGGGAAACTGGCCCTGTAGTGTGCAAAACCTGCATCAAATCCTATAGTAAGTAACGGAACAGGAATTAAGCTCAGGCTTGCTTGATTGCAAAACTGATATAAAGATATAACAGATTTTTTATTGACTCCAGCACAAGTATCTATTTTCATTATGAAACTCTGAAAACAGAAAGGAGGATATTATGCAAATCTGTATGTGGGAAAAGTTAGCTTTTTACTCTTTTTATGTCCCGTTCCTTTCTCTGCACTCTTCTCCATTTTTGTGTGAATTTGATGTTTTGATCAACACCATTTTATGAAATGCAGTCAGAGATGAAGGAGAGCAGGAGACCACGGAGCTACAAATCATTTCAGCACAGGGAAACTTTCAGAAAGACTACATTAGGAAGAAGAAAAAGGGAAGATGAGCTCAGAACAGTGTTTAAGATTTATTTACTTTTCTTCAATCATTCATTTCACTTCAGAAAGTATTTTGTTTGAGACTTAAAGAAATAACTATTATCTTTCTCCTCTTTTTACCAATTCAATGTAATCATTCCCATGAATTTTACCCCAGTCCACTGAAGAAAACATCTGATCTTGAAAAATATCCTCAAATAATGCAAAAAAGGAAAGAATAATTACAAATGGATCCATGAAAAGAGGAACCGATAGGTAGGCCCCGTTCCTTAAAAAAAAAAAAAAAAAAGATTCTTTTTCTTTGTAACTCTCAGAAATGCATGTGTCCATGTGAACACTTAAACATAATTTAGAATTAAAAGAAGCTTTAGGAATCACCCAAAGCAGATCCTGCTCTTCTTTGAGATAAGAAAAATAAATCTTTAAGATATTTCTTGCTCAGATCCCTCACACAAAACTGATATACATAAATTCAAGGCTTCCATAGTGAGTCACCATTTATTATGTCCATATGCTTTTTTAAAGACCCACATTGATGGTACAGAATGAGGAGTATGCCAGTTCTTAGGTCGTACTTATTAGTGTGGGAGCTCTGGTGGCATAGTGCCTAAGGCATTTGACTGCTAACCAGAAGGCTGGTGGTTCAAACCCAGCAGCCACTCCTCAGAAGGAAGGTTGGGCAATCTCCTCCTGTAGTGATACTGCCTTGGAAACCCAAGGAGGGGTCGCCATGAGTTGGATCTGACTCAATGGCAGTGTAGTAAACATACACTGCCTACTTATTAGAACCTCCTAGACATTTTCAAACAAACTTTGGGTCCACTCTCAAGTAATTAAGTTGAGAGCCCAAGTGTCAGTATTTTTAAAAGCTCCCCAGATGACACTCTGTGTAGCCAGGATTGAGCCTACTATGGTGGTTCTACAGAGAGCTTTAGTTAGGGCTCCAGGCACAGGACTCCCACGGGGTGTGCCCTTTCCTCTGTGTCACGCTATCTTCCAAAGGAAAAGCTACAGTTATAGGAAATATGGGCTGTACGTTATAGTAAACTACACTTCCAGTGCCCTCCTTTAAACTTCTCTCTATAATGTTGAATTGCCTATGATTCTTCTATGGAAATTAAAAAAAACAACAACTTTATTCTTCTTCTGAGTCTTGTAAACTTTGGACTGAGAAATAAATTGGAGCTAGAAACTCTCTCAATTTCTGTGATTTTTCCACACACTCACACATTACCATCACCATCCCCATCACACACACACATTATGTAAATGTACCAGTAAAGTAACAATAATTACATTAGTATCCAAAGTTGAGATTCACATAAAGAAAATCCAATTTTATTCAACAATCAGCATGCTAAAGAATTAGAACCCACATGTGAAAGAAACACTTAAATACACCTTGAATGATTTCTTCAGTTATGCTAAAATAAATTCCTCAGCTATGACTTTGATACCTTATTTAGTAACAATGGTAAAAACAAATGTTGATTTTAAATAATATGAATACATTTATTACAACAGACCATAACATCCACCATAAGACAAATAAGACTCAAAATATTTTAAATACTACTCTTAGTTTCCCTATCAGCTTGCTCAATACTGGAGCATTATTAAATCTCATTAGAACTTCTTATGGGCTGTGATGAAAGCAGGAAAACTCTTAATTAAGTACTTCATCGAGGTATTAAGCATAACCAAATCAAAGCAAACAAGGGGTGTGCTGAGTACTGATCTGTCACTCTCTCTAAAGAACAGCTTTGCATATTCCCTTCTGGACTAACCAAGTCCAGAACCAAAAAAGAATGGCAACATTGGGAAGTACTTATTCAATATTTTTTTCTGACTGTTCAGCAATTACTTTATTTAATGGAAGTAAAAATTTTGTGAAGAAATGTACTAAGTAGCCAAGATGTTAAAAGTTGTATTATAATCTTCAGTGAGCTCTGAAAAACAGACCCTATGATTAAGCAATTGGCTGCTAACTGAAAGGTCAATGATGAGAACCCACCAGTGACTCCACAGGAGAAAGATATAGCAACCTGCTCTTGTAAAGATTACGACCTTAGGAACCCTAAGGGGCAATTCTACCCTGTCCTTTAGGGTTGCAATGCCTCAGAATCTACTCAACAGAAACTTTTTTTTAACCTGTTACTCTGAGTTTCTGGTGGTGTAAATGGTTAACTCTCTTGGCTGCTCATGGAAAGGTTAATGGTTTGACTCCAGCTAGAAGCATCCTGAAAAGAACTCTGGTGGCACAGTGGTTAAGGCATTCAGCTGCTAACTGAAAGGTTGGCAGATTGAACCCACCAGCCATTCCATGGAGAAAAATGAGGCAGTCTACTTCTGTAAAGGTTTACAGCTTTGCAGACTCTGTGGGGCAGTACTACTCTGTCCTATGTTGTTGTTGTTATGTGCCGTTGAGTCAGCTCCAACTCATAGCGACCCCTCCTTGGGTTTCCGAGGTGGTGTCACTATGGAAGTAGATTGCCCAACCTTCCTTCCAAGCAGTGGCTGGTGGGTTTGAACCACCAGCCTTCTGGTTAGCAGTCAAGTGCTTTAGGTATTATGCTACCAGAGCTCCTACTCTGTCCTATAGGGGCGCTAAAGTCAGAATCAACTCATTGGCAGTGGGTTTTGGAGGCACACTGGAAGAATGGCTTGGTGATCTACTTCTGGGAAATCAGCTATTCAAAAAGCCCTGTGGAAAACAGTTCTATTCTGACCCTCACAGGGTCACCAGAATCAACTCAACGGCAACTGGTACCTCTCACTCATAAATCAAGGAATACTTAATAAATGCAACAACTCCTCATACTATAAATTCAGACCCTGAAACACAAGCCTGTCTTCATCCTTCCTCCTCAGATGTGGGCTTCGAGATTTTTGATTCATTTACATAATAACCTCAATGAAGATGGACGTCCTAATGTTGAATATGTCAGCTTTGCTAGCAGTTTTTGGTTTGCTCTCAGATTATTATCGCAAAATGGAAAAAAAAAAAAAAAAAGTCAAGGAAAAATAAATTGTATTAGTGGCCTAATAGTTTGAAGACATATAGAGCTTTTATTATTTTGAATTTCTTACTTTAAGTTATATCAATATAAATAATGCAATTGTGTCCCTTTTTTACTTATTTAACTTTTCCCATTTTCTCTGGGCATTTGCTAGTTATCAATCAAGCACAGAGAAGCAGATTTTAGCTTGTCAAGGCATTACAATTCTCTCTTTAGTCCACATGACAATTTTATTTAAAATACAAACCTCTTTAAAAAAAAAAAAAAGAAGATGACAACCCTTGACAACTTCGGAGGCTAAGAGTTTTATATGCAAATAAAAGCTTTCCTTTGGAAGGTGTGATTACACAGGTGCTACCTGTATACCAGGGACAATGCAGAAATACATGCATTACACATCACCATTGGCACTTGAATTTGTAAGTGGTATTGTCCTTAACAGAGTTGGGAGAAAAGAAGTCATTCTTTTCAAATGCTGCGGAACCCAAGGGTTGCTGAACCTTAGCTGTCCTAACTGGCTTCCTTTTCTTTCAGACATGCTTGCCGGGATTTTATCGCCTACCTTCTGAACGAGGTGGCCGCACTCCCGGACCAACCCTGGGCACCTGTGTTCCATGTCAGTGTAATGGACACAGCAACCTTTGCGACCCTGACACATCCAAATGCCAGGTATTCACCTCTTTCTTCTCCAAAGTCCATGTTGTTTGTCTCCACACATGCTCAGCTACTGGTTGCAGAGGCCCCTAAACTACAGGGAACATAACTTCTTGAATGAGTGAAATAAAATATACACAAAAAAAGATATCCATTATATTATACATTTTAACAAGCAATCTCATTGACAACTAGAAAAACTCCTCATGTCAAGGAATAGAATATTAACAGCATCTGAGAAGAGTACCAGAGGACAAAACAATTTAAACTCATATCTTTTGCCCTCCAAATATAAACAAGTGGTCGGAGCTCTGATGGCATAGTGCCTAAGGCATTTGACTGTTAACCAGAAGGCTGGTGGTTCAAACCCACCAGCTACTCCTCAGATGGAAGACTGGGCAATCTACTTCCATAAAGATACTGCCTCAGAAACCCAAGGAGGGGTCGCTATGACTTGGATCTAGCTAGACAGCAGTGAGTTTGGTTTGTTTTGTTTTTTTTTTTTTTTTTGAGTAAGCATTTCTCAAAACGTTGAAAAATATTTAGTACTGCCTTTTTTTTTTTTTTTTTTTTTAAATAACAGAAGTACCACAAGTGGATGGCTAAAACAAACAGAAATTTACTTTCTCACAACTTAAGAGGCTAGAAGTCCAAATTCAGGGTGCCGGCTCTAAGGGGAGGGTTTCTGTCTACTCGTTCTGGAGGAAGGGCCTTGTCTCTTTTGAGCTTGTGCTTCTGGGTGATCTTCACGTGGCTTGCCATATCTTCCCCCATCTCTCTGCTTCTCTCAACTGCTTGTTCAGTCTCTTTTATATCTCAAACAACACTGATTTAAAACACACCCTACACTAGTCTCACTAACATATCAAAAAGAACCCATTCAGGTGGAATTATAACCACAGCATCAAGGAGGTTATGATTTACATATGGAGGTTATTTATAAGGAGGTTATGTATGATTTGGGAGAACACAATTCATTTTATAACAACCACCCAATATTCAACATAATGAGATAAACCCTTAACATTTTAGGTATTTCCTACCAATTTTGTGCATGTGTTTACAAATAAGATCGATATAATGCCATAAGTGCAGTTCTAAATTCTGCTTTTTAATGTACGTGTTATGAGCATTTTATGTTGTTAGATGTACCTTAAAATCTTTATAATTTTATAGTAGATGTCTTGTCAATCACCTATTTCCCGTAGTAGTTAGGTTGCTCTTATTTCTTCATTACATCCTTATGAACTAACACTGTCTGCCTTAGAACAATCAGGACTGATACTGTCATGTCTTTCACCCCTTTGATTTCAGTCACCATAAGAAATTCAGGTTGCTCACATCACCACTGTCCCCAAGATTCTAAACCCTATGCAGCTCTTGACAACTCTTTTGCTGACCACATCCTCCGTATTTTCTGAAACCCTTTCTTTGAACCTTTAGGAATTCATGGTTAGACATTAATATAACGTCACTGTTGCCTGAATGTTCTCTGAATCTTGCTCTACCTGAAACTTGACTCTCCCAGAGACACCTCTCCTCCCCCTGCAATCATCTCTAGTGGCAGCTACTGTTTTCTCCCACAGTCTTCATTTCCCTGGCCCTGAAGATAGGACAGGTGTCTTGCTCTTCATTGCCACTTTCATGTTATCTTCTTTCTCTCCTCCCTAAAAACCCTCAGCTTAGATTCTCATGTCATTTGCTATTTGTCCACTGTACCAACTTGTTGTTGTTGTTAGGTGCCATCAAGTCATCTTTGACTCATAGCAACCCTATGTACAACAGAACAAAACATTGCCTGGTTCTGTGCCAGCCTCATGATTTTTGCTATACCTGAGCCCATTGTTGCAGCCACGGTGTCAATCCATCTCATTGAGGGCCTTACCCTTTTTTGTTGACCCCCCACCTTACCAAGCATGATATCCTTCTCCAGGGAGTGATTCCTCCTGACAACATGACCAAAGTATGTGAGACAAAGTCTGGCCATACTCGCTTCCAAGGAGCATTTCTGCTGCACTTCCTCCAGGACGGATCTGTTAGTTCTTTTAGCAGTTGATGGTACTTTCAGTATTCTTCGCCAGCACCACAACTCAAAAGCATCAACTCTTATTCAGTCTTTCTTATTCATTGTCCAACTCTCACATGAATATGAGGCAATTGAAAATACCATGGCTTGGGTTAGGCCTACTTCTTAATATCATCTAATAACCTTCAGGTTGTGCACCTTGTACCTTGAACATTTTTCCTCCTGATCATTGCCGTTATCTCCAGCAGTATTTATATAATAATTTTTGGTTATTTTGATGTCCTTAAAGTTAATTCTTCCATAACTTATTGCTAGTCTCTTGTCCTCACTCCATCGTGGTATACTGGAACTTGCCATTACTAATAACTAAAATTGATCTATAATCTCAATCTTAAGTATTTAATTATTTGGCCACTTTTATTTTATAGTGCTGCTGTAACACAAGTACCATAAGTGAGTGGCTATAAAGAATAGAAGTTTAATTTCTTACAGTTCAGGAGGCTAGAAGCTCAAATTCAGGTCACCAGTTCTACAGGAAGGCTCTTCTCTTTCATCTCTGGGGAAAGATGTCCGTAGAACCAGCATTCCTTGATTCCTTGACGATCTCCATGTGACATACATCTTCCCCTCCATTTATACTTGCTTCTCTGTGCCTAATCTGATCTTTTTATATTTTAAAAGTGAGTAGGATCTCTGGTAGCATAGTGCCTAAGGCACTTTACTGCTAACCAGAAGGCTGGTGGTTCAAACCCACTAGCCACTCCTCAGAAGAAAGGTTGGGCAATCTACTTCCGGAGTGATACTGCCTTGGAAACCCAAGGAGGGGTCGCTATGAGTCGGGTCCGACTAGACAGCAAATAACAACAACAACAGGTTTAAAGGGGGAAGAAGGGCTTAAGGAGAGGGCGGGCTTGTGACATATATCTTCCCCTCCAATTATACTTGCTTCTCTGTGCCTAAAATGATCTTTTTATATTTCGAAAGTGAGTAGGTTTAAAAGGGTGTGAAGGGTTAAGGAGAGGACAGCCTTGCAATCCAGTTCCATCCACTTCTCCCACCACAGCCCCACTGTGGGTTCTAGCAGCTCAATTGCAGGTGTAGCAGGAGTGGCCCGGCAGCTCAGCTTCACAAAGGCTCTTGGCATACCAGGGCCAACAAGCGTATAGCACATGCCCTCCCCATTGCCAAGATGCCCAAAAGGAAGGTTAGCTCTGCTGAAGGGGTGGTGAAGGAGAAGCCCAAAAGGAGATTGGTAAGGTTGTCAGCTAAACCTGCTCCTGCAAAAGAGGAAATGAAGGCAAGAAAAGGCTGCAGGAAAGGATAGATACATGTACAGACATAAAGTGCAACCCAGAGGGAAAAGGGAAGCAAAGGGAAAACAGGCTGAGGTGGCTAACCAAGAAATTAAAGAGGATTTACCTGTGGAAGATAGAGAAACCAAACACGAGAGACTCCAGCCTCTGGTCAGCAGGAGAGAAAGAAGACAAATCTGATTAATATTTGTCTACCATGTTTTATCGGAGCTCTGGTGGTGCAGTACCTGTGGCATTTGGCTGCTAACCTGAAGGTTGGTGGTTTTTGAAATCAAAGACTGCTCCTCCTCAATCTTCTATGCTGTTTCCTCCCCATTACATTGACATCTACTTAGTAGTGGTTCCAAGACTCAATCCTTAATAAAATTTGCTTTTGAAATTACACTCATTCTCATAGTGATCTCCTTCAGTCATATAACATTTAATTCTGCAGTGAAAGGAGTTCCTTTAAGGGGCCTCTTGGCTTTGCAAAAACAAGTTGATTTTTCTCTTAAGCCATGAGGAGTTACTTTGCCTTAGTTTTGTACTCCAGAGGTTTTGTTACTTTAGTCCAGGTTGATTAACATTTCCTGGGTAAGTTGTAAAACAACTTCATTTTAATACTTTTTGTCTGGTCCTTGGCTGCAGCATGCCCTGTGATTGGTAGGTACATTGCAGGATGGGTCAATAGACTATGCTAATGAGGTGAGTTGTAGCCTAATATGCAAATAATATGTTTGTGGCTTACTGAAAGGGGATTGGTCAATTTGTAACCCTCTGCTGGGAGGTGGCATGTCTTGAAATTGACAAGGAATTGTATATACAAGCTGGCAAACCCACAGAGGTTTTTCAGAAAAAAAATAGCAGGAATATAAGCAGCAGGGAGAAGCATAAGGAAAAAAGAAGAGGAGGAAAGAGAAGCATAGAGAAAGATGCAAGGAAACTCCTGAAAGAGCTGTAGCACAGATCAAGGGCTATAACACTGAATGTTGTGAGAGGGCTCACCAGCAGAGCCTGTAGCAACAGATGGCAGGCCCAAGAGGAAGCTATCCTTAGGGGTTTGAGAGGAACCTATTATTAAGGGGCTAAGAGAAGGCTGTTTTCAGGGGGCTGAGACAAGAGCTACACTAAAGAAATGAGGCTTTGCCTACATGCTTTCTGATCTTTATCCTGAGTTGTAACTTGTTGATCCTGATCACTAGCATAAACTGTTCCCTAACAAACCACTTAACTGTAAGTATGGTCTGGGAATTCTGTGTCATCATTATAATGGATTATTTAACCCAGAAAAGAAGTAGACAGTGCTGTGGGAGGCTCAGCCGGTTTCAGATTGGTGAAAAGGTTGGAGAATCAGCCTTGGGCTGAACCTAATTGCATTGTCCTCCATTAAATTACATTCTGCTGCTGCTGCCGCTGCTACTACCACCATTTCACCAATACCTAACCTGAGATCTGTAGTTTTAGCCATTATTTTTATCATTTAATTTTGGCACAGTGCCTAAGGCATTTGACTGCTAACCAGAAGCCTGGAGGTGCAAACCCACCAGACACCCCATGGAAGGAAGATGGGGCAATCTACTTCTGTAAAGATTTACCACCTTGGAAACCCAGTGGGGGTCATTATGAGTCAGATCCAACTTGATGTCAGTGAGTTTGCTTTGGTTTCGCCTCCTGTTTTTCTTATGGCAATGTTGTTA